ACCTCACTAGGTTACTAGAAAGAACAAAGGTAATAAACAGAGTGGCCCCCCCTTTGCCCAGGGCACTCCCAATTGACATCCAGTGTTCCATCATAATTTTTAACTTTCACTCTTAAGTGTCCCAGTTTGGATGAATAATTATGTGGTTGCCCTATATATAAGTCACCAAGCGCACCTACTTGACACAGAATGACAGTTACTGTTATTCTAGGACAGTTTGTGCATTTAAATTAAAAAAAAAAAAAAAAAAACTCCCCTGATTTGTCTGGACTGTAAAGCCAGGGACAAACCCCTTTCTACTTGGCAAGGATGCTGATTTGGGTATTTGTTTCTCACGAGGGCTATAAACTACTTTAGCCAAAGTGATCCCAGGAGCCTTAAAGAGTATGTGACCATCAAACATCTACTGAGCTACAAGGACACTGCAGTAACTCCCAACTGAGTGCCTGCACAATGCTGGGTCCTCTACGGAATGAATAAAAGTTAGCTGGGGATGCAGCTCAGGGGTAGAGCCTGTGTCAAGCATGTGTGAGGCCCTGGGCTCCATCCTCAGTATCCGCCCCCCCCCCCCACACACACACAAAGGTTAAAACGAGCGACAGTTTTGAATTTTTTCTTAAGCATTTCTCATAGTGCCCTTGAGGTTCACTTGTCACATGAAGAGTTCCCAATAAGTACTGCTCTGCAGCCAACAGAAGAAGTTTTCCATCTGCACTCCCCAGTGATTTTTCTTTGGCCTCAGAGCTAACCCCATATGAGCCTACGTTTCCATGTTGGATGGACACTGCCCTTTTCAATGTAATTTAATTCACTACCACACACAATTTAACTCACCACAAAACACCTGGGAGAATCTCTCAGTGGATACAACTTTTTGAAGATCAACATTGTACATTTTGCAATGCTCACTAACCCCTTCCTATAGCAGAGATATTATTCAGTTCCCCCACAGTAGGCAACTTGTGAATAGAATTCTAAATATCTGAAAGGGCTCATGGGCATGCAATAGCTTTCCTCAATGGTTTAGCAAGATTTGCCAAATGTTATAGGAAGGGTGTGCACTGCCCTGGAAAGAGCAAGGTGTTGAAGGGATTCTGAATGTACCTTCATTCACTGGAACCAGTGTTCTGGGCATCATGGGGTGGACAGAACCACAAGGAAGCCATTCAGAGCTGTCAGACTGGTGTGGGAGCCCGCACACCAGCTCCATGCAGTAATACAAGGCAAGTTCTCCTTTCCTGTGAAATAGCTTGGAACTTCCCACTCTGAACTTTTTTTCTATGGCAAATATGAAAAGGCCATGGTGAGTCTCAGCCACCGAGATAATTCCGAGGCCAACTCTCAGGCTACTGGAAGACAAGCACTTGGAGAAAGGTATGAATACTCTGATAATAACTAAAGTGGAAAAAGGGATAAAGTTAAAAAGTACACCTGGAAAAAGATAGCCCAGAGTAAGCAACAACATTTGGCATCTATCGATATAGTTGCCCTCTCCAGGGGTGTAGCAAGTGTTGACTACTCATAAAATAATCCACCGAGTATGCCAAGACTAATGAAAGACATGGTCTAAGTAGGTTTAGAAGGGAGGGGAGCATTAGAACACATTCATATTATTTTTATACTTATAGAGCACTCACAATGTACTAGACATTATCCTAAGAGCTTTACATCTTAATACCTCATTTACTCCTATCAGGTTCCCATTATTTTTGCTTCCATCTTACTGATGATGAAGTGGAATTAGAGTGCTTAATTAACTATCCAAAGCCACACAAATGCAAGAGCTAGAGACCGGAGCCAAGCTTGTTTGGCCCTGCCACTAGTGTGATCTAGGTGAGGGTGTGCCAGATTAGGGGGCTGTTGTACAAAGAATCATGGATTTGGGAGAAAAATCAGTGACATGCAGAGGAGGATGAGCAGGTGAAGCTGGAGCCGGAAAACAGGATAAGAGAGGATGGATAAGGAGCCCAAAGAGGGCCCTGGTTGGGGACCACTGACACTCAGAGGAAAGGGGCTGGAGAGCATCCTTCAACCATTAGGGACCACTGAGTACTCCTGGTTCAGCTGAGAAGGGCATAGGATGGCTGTGGCCCATGGGCACCAAGGCAGCAGCTGTGAGCATCATTGAGCAGCTGGAGAAGGTGTGGATATGAGTGAGGAAGAAGCAACAGGACAGGTGTCCAAGGTGGGGGAGGTCAGGAAAGGCTCCACAGGAAAGGTTCCACATTGCATCCAGGCAATGAGCCCATTCAAGTCCCCAACTCCTCAAACCAAAGGATGGCCTGACAGAATGGACGTGCCGAGAGAGGAGAATGCCAAAATGAACACGGAATAAAAAGCCAATACATCTTGCCAGTCAGTGAGTGGATGACTTGTTTAATTAACTTATTAATTCTTTGAAGAGACAATGATATAGAAAATTATATTTTCCCCCACAATGTGTTATTTTTTTTTTTTTTTTAATGGAAAGCTTAACTTGGAAATGCTTATAAAATCATCTTTCCTCTGACTACCGCCTAGCAAAGCAGTCAGCCATAGTTATAGTTTGTTTTATTGCTTTTTAATAGTGGCACTTTCATAAACAAGCACCACCATATAATTAGGGGCTGATTCTCCAGTCAGGTATGTGGGCACTATCCATGCTCCCAAGCCTGTGATGCTGGGCATGCGTGTGCAGGGACAATTAGCTGCCTGCCCCGTGGTGCATCCTCTCAGCCAAGGTTACACTGAGTAGGTTGAGCCCTAAGGCTTCTGTTTTCTACTTTGTCTTCTACATAGACAAATTCCTTTCTCCCTTTGCTACTGAAAATATGTAAAACTTAGCAATGAGAACTATGCCGGTTGTAAGCAGGTAAGTGTTGTAACAAGCTCAAAGTATATTTCCTCTTCCTCTCGAATAAACTGAAAAACATTCTGCCCCCAAAGGAACACTAGAGACTCACCAACTTCACTACTGTGAAATAAAGAAATTAAGATAGAAGGCGGGGACCGTGTCTTATTCACCTTTTATAGCCCTACAGCCTGGCACAGAATAGGTGTTGAGTAAATCTTTGCTGAATGAATTGGAAGAATTCAAAAATTTTGTCATAGATACTCTCAAAGTGGAAACGAACACTTTGTTCTATTTCCTGATATGTGTATGGAGGGAGAGGGAGAGTAGCTTTAGGAAGGATGGAAAAATGTATACTTTGTCTAGAGTCATTTGCAAATACACAAGGGGAGAGATTTTAAAAGAAATCCCACTGAGCTCAGTTTCAGCACAACATCATTTTCTATCTAATAAAACAGTGACAAAAAAATTGATGGAAGAAAAGAGCCTGGCTTTCGAATAATCAAATGGTGACTAAAAACCACATAGGTATCAAACTCACAACTGAGTTTTCTTCTGCTAGTAAGAAAACTGCTCTGTAGGCTACCCTATATGTCTAATTCTTTTCATTAATCAAAGGGTAGAGAGACAAAGAAAGGTTCATCCTTGTGTGAAGTGTGAAGTATACAAATAATGAATCCAAGTTAAATGATTTATGGCCATAACGAATAAAGGAATGCTCCCAAATGGCTTCCCCACTTTGGAGAAAAGCAGCTTCAGACAAGCCCCACAGTGCATACAGTGGTGCAAAATGACCTGGAAAAAATGGTTTCTATGGATATCATTTAGAGATGCATATCCCTGAATACCTCCAGGCAGAAGGTACTTTGGCTCTTCTCTCAAAACAATTACAGCCCAGGTTCTCTGGCCCAGGTTTTGTTTACATAAGAACAATCTTGGCCACAGGTCATTTGTGGAGGAGATAATTAGTCACCACCTCTTTGAGCATAGGTAGGTTCATTAATATGTCCATAAAATAATATCAAGTTTTTTAGTGGAAAAATTTTAAAACAATTAAGGATCTATAATACCTGCTGGTCTTTTATCCACAGCAAGCACAAAAGCTGTGGGTGAAATAGAGAAGACTTTGTTTTTAAAGTGTTCATAAAAATATAAGACATCACTGATCACCTGAAGGCCTCATTTTAATTTGATCTCAGATTCAGGGTGGCTTAGAGGCTGTCTTTTTGAAATAGCATATTGCTAAAATCTTTATGTAGGTCAGAAATGGAACTTCAAAAGCCATAATACTCTGATAACCTAATGAACGATTAGGGTCAAAATTTCACTTGTTTACGTTTCAGAAAAGCACGTTATTTGAACTACATCAAGCATCAGGATTTTTTTTTTTTTTTAAAATGCAGATATTAAATGGCATTCTAAATATCATCCATATGGATAGGGGAGATATCAAACAAATCTTCAGATGCCTTTATGTATGAAAAAAGGTGAATTTTAGGTTTTGGACTATTAAGTACTTTTGTGTCTTCAGACAATACCCTAATAAAACAATTACAAAGTACTCCAAAACCCTGCCACACCCCTCTGATTAAACTGCACTTCACAAAAATATTTAGGTGAAGCCTGAACAAATCAAATAAACACCCAGTCAAAGGAGGCAACCGGGAAAACCTGGTCCTGAGCTCACCAGAGTCTGAAGGGCCATCTCACTTGAAAATTTAAGCAAACAAAATCTACTGTCATTCCACTGCAGCCTTTGCACTGGAGCAAAGCTAGTTCAGTCTCTGACATTTTGATTTTCATAGCAGATGGAAGCAAAAAAAAAAAAAAAAAACTTCCTTGGCTCACAAACATATGTGTCCAGTTGAGATCTGATTATTTCTCGAACCTTACGCAACATCCAGCAAACAAACAAACAAACAAAAAGGTTATTTTCTATTACTCACTATTACTCCAGGATTTCAGTAAATATTTGATACTGATCTCAAAGAAGCCCGAATCCTGCTGGCTGGCCATGTCTGCAGCATACAAAGAGGCTCCTAGGACTGGGAGCCGCTGGAGGAGCAGGTACCGGGGTGGAGATGTGCCTGTCACAGGTTAGTGATGTAAGCGAGGGGTCAGGCGCCGAGAGGGAGGCTCTGCAGATCCACCTCCGGCTCGGGTAGGGAGTCCTCATTTAAAGGACGCGGAGGAGCGGGAGAGAGAGATGCTCAGCCGCTCCTCCTCCTCCGGGGCCAGGACTTGCTTCTTATTTGCTGGGTGCGATCTCCCTGCAGCCCTCAGAGGCGGTGGCCGCTGCTGCTTTCATTTCTGGGCTGCCGTAACCAGAAATGCCTGCTGCCGGCCGCCCGCCCGCAGGCTCTGCTCCAGCCAGGTACGGTACCCAGGAAGTCCCCACCTGAACTGGGATCCGCTTTCTCTGGGGAGGGAGAGTTTCTTGGCCGGCCTCCCCGACACGAGGCAGGAGGCCTCCCTGCCCACACAGCAGCCCCGGGGCTGAGGCAAGGGCTGGGAGCGCCGCCCCTGCCCCTGCCTCAACCTGAGCCACCGTTCAGCCTCCGCCTCGGCTGGAGGAGGAGGAATTTCCCAGCTGCTGTGGCTCTTCTTTGGGCAGAAAGGCTTCCAGGCAGCAGCCCGGGTATGCGCTGGCTGCTGCTTCCCCTTGTGTCAGTCCCTGAAACATACACAACTACAGCCCGCTGCGGCAATCCAAGCTGCACCCTTGCATCTGGTTGCTGCAACGTTTGAAAAAAACCCCATCCGGGCAGCCTCCTTGCAGCACAGAGGCTTGATAAAAACACCTCAGCCTGGGCTTTTCTTCCCTTTCTTTCATGGGCACAGTGTAATCTGCATTTTGTGTTTCTCTCCACCCCCCAGAAATGCAGTATTTTTGAGAGGCACCGGAGCCCCACGTGTGCACCCCAAAGGGACAAGGCAGTACAAGCTGCTTACTCTGCTTGTTTAGAGAATGCTGCATGCAGATCCCACCAAAGATCTGTTTATCTCTAACCTTTCATTTCTGAGAACTACTGAGCCCAATAAAGCTCATTTTATTTGTATTCAAAAGATAAGAAACAAAAGCATTAGATTCCTTGCTGTTCGATGGCATTTTACTTCATGAATTCTTGATATCAGATGTCCTGATATGGGTTAGCTTTGTTTCACATTATCATTTAGCTTGACTAGGAGATTAAATACCAGTATTGTATTTTAATAATGACAGGCTATATTTGAGCTGGTGAGATTTGGCCAACCATCTCATAAGCCATGGGATACTTCTCCCTCCCCTGTACATTTGTGATTAATGTTTTCAAACAGAATTAATAAATTACGTGATCATTATTTAACACAACAAATGTCGGGCAACCCCCTCCCATCAACAAACAAATTGGACTTCCTAGATTAACAGTTCATTTGGGAAATGGAAGGGAAAGATTTAAGACAAAGACTTTAAAAAATTCAACACTAAATGGCATTTTTAAAACTGTGTCCTGAAATGTCCTACCTTATGGATATAATGAGCTTTTCAAACTTTGCACTTAGACAAAGGCAAGCACTCAACCACTCAGATTCTTAACTCCACTCACAGCCTTTTATTCTCATGAAATCTCTCATCAAACTGACTTCTTTTTTAACTCATATGCAAACTAAAATTGAAGCGCTGATTTTCTCTTATTATGTATACTTTAATGTATAGATTCTAGGTAAAATAGGACCCAAAGGTTTTACTTCAAAATAACTATTATATCTGATAGCAAATGTAATACCTGTGTCCACTGATCTGGGGTCTCTCCCACCTTAGATGGCAATGAATAACAGGGACATCACAGGATACTTTGGAATGAATGATGGACACGTTCTCAAAGCAGGGCCCCAGCTCCTACCTGGCACCAGCCTTTACTAGCCATGAGACCTAAGGCAAAATCTTAACCTCCCTAACCCTTACTTTGCTCAATTATAAAATGGGGATAATTGTACCTACTTCCTATGGTAGTTTGGATGAGTAAATGACATTATGTATGAAAAGTACTCAGTATAGAATACTGTACATAGTAAACAATCACATTTTATTATTATTATTTGTTAAAGAGATAGAGAAATTTTTTTAATATTTATTTTTTAGTTATCGGCGAACACAACATCTTTGTTTGTATGGTGGTGCTGAGGATCGAACCTGGGCCGCACGCATGCCAGGCGAGCGCACTACCGCTTGAGCCACATCCCCAGCCCCACATTTTATTATTTTTATTCATTAATATTATGAACTCTGAATGACTCCAGAACTGTTTTTAACTTAGATTATCTATCTATTTATTTATTTTTACTGTTTATGTGACTGAGAAGGCATATTACTTTTGAACATCAATAGGAACTATTTAGAGACAGCAGGTTGGAGACACTTAAAATCAGCTGTAATAAGCAAACATGTTCTTCTATATTGGTACTCAAATATATAGAGATTCTCTGAATGTTTATTCTCTGGCTTTTTACAAAAGTTTTCAGTTGTACTATAAATGTACTAACTTCCTGAGGATGCCACTCATATATATTTCAAAGGAAACTATCATAAAAATTTAAATGCTATTTAGAAATGAATGTGTTATATGGCCTCTAATTTTCCCTATGAAGAGTGAATCAGCAACTAAGAGTCCCGTTTCTATCTGTTAAAACTCTAGTCTGTCTAGTGCATGCTATTTTCTTTTTCTAATTTGAATACCTTTAAAGAGAACATATATTGTACAAGAACAAAAAGGGCCTTTTGTTTTGCTGAAAGGCCTGCAAATCAAATAGAATGACACCTGCTGCAAGCTGGGATAAAACATTTACCCTTTTGTCTCCTCTTTCTCTTTCTCTCTTTATCTCTGGTGGGGGGGGGCTTATAAAAAAATAGAGATAGAGGAGGCACCCGGACAAAGGTACTTTGAAATACAATAATAAAATCCAAACCTGTCCCTGGCTTTCTTCTTGATTTCAGTTGTCATTTAAGATGATCTCGAGGTACCTTAGATTTCATACCTATACAAAATGAGGGGATTCTTCCTTTAAAGTCTTGGGAAACTATACATGAATCTTTAAGCAAGAAATTAGGGTTAGACATCGGGACTAAGAGAAAGATAACAGTAGTATAGGAAAAGCCAACGGTCCCAGGAAATGGTATTGAAGACTGGAAAAAGGAAAGTAGCCTGAGACCCATGATAGTGATTAATGAGACCATCTATACTTATTGAACTTTAATACTGTGCTGAAATACACACTTCAAAATTATATTTAATCCTTACTTCAAACCTATGAGGTAAGCACTCTTGCTAGCCTAATTTACAGATGAGATAATTGAGGCTTAAAGGGGCAAAAAATAAGATCAAAGTCATATACCTGTTAAAATTTAGGTCTAGCCATTTTTAGAACCAGTTATCCTAACTTTATTTTTTATTTATTTATTTTTAATATTTATTTTTTAGTTGTAGATGGACACAATACCTTTATTTTATTTTATTTTTTATATGGTGCTGAGGATCGAACCCAAGGTCTCGCAAGTGCTAGGCGAGCGCTCTACCGCTGAGCCACAACCCCAGCCCCTAACTTTAATATCATCATCATCATCATCATCATCATCATTAATATTTATTATTTTCAAATCACAAGCAACAGGAGAATCATCTTCTTTACCACTCTTCTCATCACAGATGTGAAGTCCTGCCAGCTCTCTATCCCAAATTACTCATTTTCTTACTGCCCAGCTTTTGCCTGGGTAAGGAATTACTATAGTCCCCTGAAGGAAACTAGGAAAGAATGTCATTATTTTTCATATTTATCTTACAGGTTGTGTCCTGACCTGGAGTTGAAGGGAGGCAACCGCAGATGGAAATCTTGTCTGAAATCTATTCTCCATGTTGTCAAGGGCTGGTAATGGGCTCAGTCTACCCGGACATGGGGCTGCATCATCCCAGGACTCAATCCAGAGGGAAGGGTGTCTATTTGGTGATCAAGACACCATGGGGGTGTTATGGTTTGGATCTGAAATGTTGCCCGAAGACTCATGTGTTGAGGGCTAGTTCCCCAATGCATTTGGGGAAGTGAATGGATTATGAGGTTCTGATCTCATCAATGCATGAATCCATTGATAGGTTCACAGTTTAAGGGACTACTGGAAGATTCTGGAAACTTTAGGAGGTGGGACCTGGCTGAAGGACACAGGTGTCACTAGTCGGGTGCCTTTGAGGGGCATATTTTGTCCTTGCCCCTTCTTCCCAGCCGACATCCTTCTCTGTCCCATGTTCCTAGTCATGATGTTCTTCCTTTCCTCAGGCCCAAAGATGGTGCTGGCTGGCCATAGACTGAAAAATCTGAAACTGTAAGCCAAAATTAATCTTTCCTTCTTTATTTTAATTTGTTGGGTATTTTATCATAGCAACAGAAAGTCGACCAGCACAGTAAGCTGATAGGAACTCTGAGTTATGCAGGAGGAATCAGGAGAGCATGGTGTTTCAAGAAGAGATGGCCCAACTGGTCCCTTACGTTCCAGCTGGCTGAGTAGCCACATGGGGTGTGAGCGGTAGAGAGTATTTTGGGTTACATCTCACAATCGGTGGCATTTGCCCTTCTCCTGCCTGGATTCCTATTAGAACCATCTCTCTCTCCCTCTGAAAGAGCTGTATCTTTGGGTTTTGTATCCCCACACTCCTCCCAGCACACAGTCAGTCCTCACATGATGAGTGAGTGAATAAATAGGCTCGTTATGCCTGTCTAGGTTATTTGCTGCCTCTGGGGGGAAAACGTGCAACAGAAGAATAATTAATTTTAATTTATATTTCATTTATACTTTCCTAGCAATTCAGACATTTTTTTTTTTGAGACTAAAATGCATGGTGCTCAAAAATAAAATGTAAAAACAAAGCTACACTAACAGTCTGGATGCTTGCCAATCTCAAGAGACACTACCTAATAATGATTTTCAAACATCTGATGGAGTTGATTGGGTTAGGGTTGGAGTCCACCCTCTTCCCCTATGGATGGGTGCACGTGGGTCCCCATATGTAATTACTGTCACAGAGTGACATGCACGTTCATGAACAGAATGTGTTATGCACAAGAGAAATGCTTCACAAGCAACCTGAAGAAACAAAGGAAACTCACTTAGTGTATGAAAAAGATGGCTTTATCCGTTCTTGATCAGCAGTTTCAAATGATCAGCAGTTTCAAATTCCAAAAGTATTAAGTATATTATATCACCACGACTGTACATTGCATTGTAAGAACTGTTCCAAAGCAAATGAAGTGTTTCCTAGATTGAGTTAAATGGACAGCAGCTGAGATCAACAGTGACAGGTATAGAGAAAGAATTTCATTTTACTGTAAATAGTAGCATTCATAAGAGGTGTAGAAATCACCTAAAGAAGAAAGTGTCATAATAAATAGCATGCTTTTCTTTTGACCTGTGTGAGAGCAGAAATTCGGGCTGTTCTATCCTATTCTAAGAAATATTAGAGGAAAAAAAAAAGATGCCACATGATGTTCACGTCATAAGCATAAAAGGTAATAATTGTTTCCTTTAAAAACCCAACCCACAGACACAAGTCTTCACAAAGTTAGATTCCATAAGTTTGGAAAACATTTACTCCATTGCTATCCACTACAAATAATTTTTTCAATGGATTGACAAATACATTAAATTTTCTTGAATGCAACAGAATTTCAGAGCTTGTAGCCTAGATTTAGACATAAACAAGGAAAATCATGTTTCCTGAAATGTTTTTCATTCAAAACAAAATAGCAGCAGAACCTTTTTTTTTTTTTTTTTTTAGTTTCCTTTGCTACTCAGCTCCTCTGCAAAGGAATTTTATAAGGCACCAAGACAAAGGAGCCGAGTGATCATCCAGTGCAAGGGGAAGCCCTTGAAGGATACAAGCAGACAACAATAAAAGACACAGAACGCAGAACATTACAGCGGGGAGCAAGGGGAAAGAAAGCCAGGAAACCACACCACTCTCTGCTCTGTGTACAGAAGGTCCCTCCAGATGCCCATTGTCGCCCTGGGCAGGAACTGACATTAATTGAGTGCTTAATATTGAAGACTTGGGCCAGGCTGGATCTCAGAGGCCAAATCTGTACCGAAAGGCTCACCTGCTGGGAACCTCTCTAACTGGCACTGGAAGATCCACAGAATAAAACGGAACTGTGGTGTCAGCTATCCCAGGCTTCCAACCTGGGAAATAAAGAAAGGGCATCTTCCTAAACTGCATTCCAGACAACTGAATTGTGACCTCAGGAACCGATATTCAAAGATGATCAGTTAGAAGGGGAGTGACACTGTATCCTAGAGTTGATCCCTCCTTTATGGCACAGGAGCTGTGTTGGCAGAGTTGTTGAATGACTGTGGCCTCAGTTTCCTTGTCTGTGAACTAGGGCTTATCCCACAGTTTAAAAATTAAATGAGTGCCAAGGCAGGTGACAAGTGTTATGTACCAGATCTGTAGTGACCAATGAACCCAGAATATTCAGCACAAGATGTCCCCTGAAGCTCACACTCGTGTTAGGAAAGAGGGAGAGGGACCATCCTTCTGCAGAGGGATCCTTACTTATAGCCACCTGTGCAGAGCCGGCTACCAAGGTGAGGTGGATCTGCAACATGGCTGAAGGTTTGTCAAGCAAAGAAAACCTAAACATATACATAGACAACTTTGAGGCCTGGGGTAAACTATGTGATTAGAGGTTCTTGTTAGTTTAGCATCTTTTCAAAATTTACTTGATTTAGTCCTATCAATTTCTCAACGTAGGGCTGGCATATTTGCATATTCTTAACCTAGCGCCCAAATGAGGAGATGCTGCAGTCCATATATGCTTTATACTTACAAAAGTTTCACCTCAAATTCTGCAGAACACTTCTGGCATAGTAACCCTTTAATGTTGTATTTATGGATGTCTATGCAAAGAAGAAAACATGTATTTTTTTTCCATCGCCCCTTATCATGAAAGCAGTTATTTACATGCAGATGCAAATAAGTTCAATGTAACCAGCTATGGTAAGTAGCCAACTGTTAAAACATCTTAGACTACATGTTAAATCTTTTCTGAAGAAGCCAAAAACCATATTGCTTTGCATATCAGTATTTACCAAAAACACACAGATAGGTAATGCTCAGCAGGATGAAAACCAATTATGTTTATATCAATTTATATCATCACTCTTTCCCAAACATTTACTATGTAACAGAGAACTAAGAAACTGTTGGTTCTTCTCTGTATAAATGATAATCCAACAACACAAAAAAGGAGCGTTGTCATGGTGGAATTGAAGTTATTGGGTGATAAGCTGTGACTACGAGTTAGTGATAAAAATTAAGTACCTTATAGAGCTACAGCCACTATTTCTATTTTTTTATTTCATTGGTGTTCCCAATTTCATGCTCAAAAATAAACATTTACAGTGTAAGTCACAGGGAACAGATCAATTTTGCTCAAAGGCACCACTTACTAAAATCTGAAATTTTAAAAACACAAAATTGGGGGAAATTAAAAATTTTGATTAATTTTATTTATATACCCATGATACAAATTTCACATATACTTAACTTTTTCTTTTCTTTTAAATGTTTCCTTTTCTGCCTGTTTACACTTACCTACCAACAAAGGTTGAAGGATTGGGAATTAGGAAACTCCTTATTCTTCTTATTTTGACCCTGGTATTATTTTAGACAAGTTATTTCTCTACAAAATGAAAAATGTTCCTTTTCACTATCAAATTATTTCTTAGGGGTCTGGGGCCGTGGTTCAGCGGTAGCGCACTTGCCTGGCATGTGTGAGGCACTGTTCGATTCTCAGCACCACATATAAATAAATAAAATAAAGGTATATCAACAATTAAAAAAATATTTTTTTAAAAAATGATTTCTTAGGGCAGGTTCTAAGATTTCCCATACTATAGGGAAGAACCATGGCTTGGCTAAAGCAGAATGCTGGATAATAAATTATTATTATTATTATTATTATTATTATTTTAATATTTTTTAGCTTTTAGGTGGACACAATATCTTTATTTTACACTTATGTGGTGCTGAGGATCGAACCCAGTGCCTTGTGCATGCTAGGCAAATGCTCTACCACTGAGCCACAACTCCACCCCGATAATAAATTATTTTATGGAAGTTTTTGGCATGCATTATTTAAATTTTTGGCAACAGATTCACCTTCTCAATAATGTTTTGATAAAATAAGAACATCCATGAAAGAGCACCCACTGGCTGACTGGCAGGAGAAGCTGACAGGGGACCAAAAAATAATTGGGGATTAGAAAGGGATAAATCGATATGAAAATGACCAAGTCATCTACTATGAAATTAATGAAGCAATAGCAAAGTGCTTTGATGAGCTTAAAACTGATAGCAACTATCCACTTGGCATGTCCTGGGGGCCACGGAGAGACCATAGCCCAAAGCCAGGTTATTAACACTGGGATTAAGGACAGTAGAACTAGGACATTGAAGACATGGACAGCATCCCTTCATTTGGAGCTAACACTTTAAAAAGGAAGTTGTCTACTTCACTGAGCAGCACTGACTTCACCTTCAAAGTCATCCAAATGGCCATCTGTTCACAGAGCTGCCTGGTGCAATCCCCCTGGTTCCTGCCTTTTAGAAGGCTCCGGGTAATACAGAAGCACACACATTACCTTCTCCACCCTCAGGCCTTGTTCAGAAGCATTAGAAAATGTAACTGAGAAGGGGAGACTATTTTGCAGGATGGGGAAAGTCCTGCAAGGCATGTTTTTAGAAAGGGTGGGAAATCACCACCCTACTTTGACCAGACAGGCAGGGCTTTGTGTAGGAGGGCGAGGCTGTCAAAACGGAATGAGGGACAGCTGCAGCTCCGCAGGCTGGTGGGGAGAGCAATTCCAACTGTTCAGAAGTGAGGTGGAGAGTAATGAGCTTTGCAGACCGTCAGGCTGGGAGAGGTCACTCTGAGAAATGGAGTTGGAGGGTCATGATTCTGACCCGTGGTGTTGGCCATAGAGAAATTCAAGCTTCTGGTCAGGCCAGGCCTGCTCCACCAGGTACTGACCAGTTTTCCACCTATGTGTCTGACCTATTCCTTTCTCATTCATAGGGTGTATGTGATACTATCCTACCTGCCCTCTACCTATCTGCCCTTCCATGATCTCAAAGGAGATTCTGTGGATGGAAGCGCTCTGTATTCCCAGGGTGCCGGCATCAGAGATGCTCAGGGCTTCATTAATGCCTGAGTGAGAAAATAAGATGGCGGGTGAACCCCCTTCAGTCCTCCTTCCTAAGAAACACACTGGTACCTCCCTGGTCATTGTACCAGCTTGCTGGACTTTCAGTTTTTGGTTTAGGGACATGCCCAGGGTGTCCTGCTCTGTAAGTGGCCATTCACCAACTCCAGGAATGTGCTGGTGGTTTGCCTGGGTCTTATCCAAATGCTACTCCAGCCTCTCTGAATAAATACAGGATGGGTGGTAACTGCAGTTGGAGAAATACTCCACCCTACCTCTAGCCTTATTTTCCACCTTCTTTGCTCTCCAGGGGAATTTTTCCTTTCTCTTATCCTTTTAAATCATTTTTAGAAATTAATTTTGTCTATGATTTCTTATATCCTTACCTTTGTGTGTTACTCTCCATGTGTCTAATTTATACTGTGTTCATTAAAACAAGGAGTAGCAAAAGAGTCAGAGAAAGGGCCATGTACATGGCCTTCTTTGGGAATTTTGGGTGAAAGGTAAGAGAGGGGCGGCTATGTGAGAAATAGATCAGTGAAAGGCTGAACCTGGAGTTAAACTAGCAATACTCTCTCCATTGGCCTCCTATTTATTCTTACAGTGGAGGAAACTGAAACTGATGGAGGCCCAATAGTAATCCAGTATGCTGAAAATTTTACCATTTCAATATGTAATAAACATCAAAATCATTAGTAGAACATTTAATATTTTTGCACTAAATATTTGAAATCTGATGCAATTTTTACGGCACCTCTAAGTTTTTATGGCATTAGCCACGAATAGCTATTCTGTCCTTGGAATGTACATCAGTGGCTGGTGACTGCTATATACATCCTAAGGGCATAATAGCTACCAGTGGCTGGTGATTCTCTTATTGAACAGCACAGCTCTAGAAATTTCTTGACAATTTTTGTGTCATGAACCTTTTTGGCAGTCTGGTGAAGCCTATGGCTCCTTCTCAGAATAAATTTACATGAATAAAATAAAATCCACAGGTTATAAAGAAAATGAATTGCTTTAAAATGTAATTATAATTTTTTTTCTTTATGGGCCTTTATTTTATTGATTTATTTTTATGTGGTACTGAGGATTGAACCCAGTGCCTCACACACGCTAGGCAAGCATTGTACCACTGAGCCACAAACCCAGCCATAATTAAAAAATTCTTTTAAAAACATAAAATTGTGGTATTGTATACACACAAATTCTTTAATAGTGCCTGATATAAAATAATCCAGAATCAGGTCTAATAATAAATTTTAAATAAAATAATATCTAAAAGCATAAATAAAATTTCCATAAACCTAAAGCACCTGTAATGTGATGAAAATACCTGACTTCTATTGGTAGCAAATAATATTTGCTTTTATTGGTGCTATTAATAATATTGTAGTTTGTCGCCTATATTTGTAATTGAAGAGAATACTAAGTGTCAGTTAGAGTTAGTAAGAAGAGAAATGTAACAGTTTCCCATCTAAGTCCTTCAGTCTGACCCGTGGAGCTGCTCCAGAGCTTGGGCTTTACCTACTATGCCCTGCTGCTCCCAAAGCACCACTCCTTCCAGAGAGCTCAGTTTTCACAGGATGCTTGAAGATGGTCATGAATAACTGTTGCAACTTTGAGAAGCTTTGCCCACTCTCCTTCAAGTTTTCTTTTTCTTTTCTTTTTTTTTAATATTTATTTTTAAGGTGTAGTTGGACACATGCCTTTATTTATTTACTTATTTTTATGTGGTGCTGAGGATCGAACCCAGAGCCTTGCACGCGCTGGGCGAGTGCTCTACCACTGAACTACAACCCCAGCCCCAAGTTTCCTTGATTCTACTTCTTTTTCACTTATGTCACTCACTTTTTCTATTGTCCACACATACTTTTCAGCATCTCACACTTCTATGATATTCAAATGATATTTAAATACTTGAACTATTCAATAAATGGAAACCATAGGTGTAAAATTGACGCTAGATTATAGAATACCAGCCAGTTACAAGCCTCAGAGCATATCAAGCACATGCAGTATTGCTCATACTTGAATATGATCTCCATTTTCTCTTTGAGACTATGATACATAAAATGGCAACCTCACACAATAAACTCCTTCAAAGAGCACATACACACACATACAGTTTCCAATTGACAAAAAAAATCTCGAATTCCTTATAATCCAAAGGGAAAGAAACATCATTATATTATTTTAAATATTTTTGGTTGTAGATGGACACAATATTTTTACCTTATTTATTTATCTATTTTTACGTGGTGCTGAGGCTCGAACTCAGTGCCTCATGCATGCAAGGCAAGCGCTCTACCACTGAGTTACAACCCCAGCCCTTCATTATATTATTAAATACAATTAAAATAATACTCTGGTATAATAGCTAATCCCATTTAAAAAATTCATTTTGCTTTGAGTTGTGGAGGTAATTTGGTGAGCTGAAGCCAGGGTATCTTTCTAATGAAATGGAATATATTAGAGTACATCAGACACAGT